GGACTCATTGTAAAAAATACAGAAGTCATTATTATTATTATTGACAGAGTCTTTCTCTGTTGCCCAGGCTGGAGTGCAATAGTGTGGTCTTGGCCCACTGCAATCTCCGCCTCCCATGTTCAAGCGATTCTCCTGCCTCAGTCTCCTGAGTAGCTGGGACTACAGGTGCATGCCACCACACCCAGCTAACTCTTTGTATTTTTAGTAGAGACGGAGTGTCACCATGTTGGGCAGGCTGGTTTGGAACTCCTGACCTCGTGATCCATCCGCCTTGGCCTCCCAAAGTGCTGGGATTACGAGCAGAAGTTACTATTTTTTTTTTTTTTTTGAGACAGAGTTTCGCTTTTGTTACCCAAGCTGGAGTGCAATGGCGCGATCTCGGCTCACCGCAACCTCCGCCTCCTGGGTTCAAGCAATTCTGCCTCAGCCTCCTGAGTAGCTGGGATTACAGGCACGTGCCACCATGCCCAGCTAATTTTTTGTATCTTTAGTAGAGACGGAGTTTCACCAGGTTGACCAGGATGGTCTCGATCTCTTGACCTCGTGATCCACCCGCCTCAGCCTCCCAAAGTGCTGGGATTACAGGCTTGAGCCACCATGCCCGGCAAGCAGAAGTTACTATTTTTTTAAAGTTTCACAGTGAAAATTTTGATTTATTTTCTTTCAGCCTGAATGGCTCTGCTTCCTTCCATCCATTCATAAATAATGTCTATCCATGAATAACAAAATTGTATTCATGCAAAATAGTTGTGTATTCCATTCTTTAAAACTAATGTTCACTAGGAGCATTTCCCTGTGCCATTCAGTATTCTTCGAAACGTGATTTTCAGTGGCTGTGTCGTAATTCGTTTTGTGAGTGTCTGGATTTGTCCACTGCCGAGCACTTCAGTTTCTCTGCCCCACTATGTCTGAACCGTACCCCCATCTTGCACTGCCTGCTCCTTGTAGGCATTTGCGTGTGGACATCCCACCCAAAACCACCTGATCCTGCCCACCAGACCTGTCCTTGCTCCCTTAGGGGCATATCTGCCTCCCCTGTCTCTGTTGTTGCTCATGTCTGGTCAGTGATGGTGTCCTGCCTGCTTGGCCGACTCCTCTGCAGACCTGTGTCCAGGCCTTCATCTCTGCCCTCATCCCTGGACAGGCTCTTTGGTGTCAGTCCCACCGTCTTGTGCCGATGCACCCCTTCCTTCTCCCTCCCTCATTCTGCCATGGCCACTTGCTGTCCTCCAGGAGCACCAAGATGACCAAGGCTAGCCAGATACTGTTTCCAGTGACCTTACTTTCTAGGGCGAGCCATGTGATGGGGCCATGCAGAGTCCAGTGGGTGGCGCAGGGGAGCTGGCGCAGCTCAGGCATGTGGGGCCTCTCCTTTGGGGCCAGCCCCTGCAAACACGGTTTCTCCTTGCCTTTGCTCTGCTGGTGGACTCCTGGCTCTCTCAGGAGCTGCCAGTGCCTGCTCAGTGACTGAGCTGGGCCTTTGGATCTCTGTCCCTTTGCTGTCAGCAGGCCCACTCATTTCCCTCACTCCTGCCTCCCTGGCTCTTAGAGTGTTTCCTGTCTGAGCCTGCAGGTCTCCTGCCCACCCGTCCTTCCTGGAGTTTCACTGCCCTGTAGCACTGAGCTCTGGCTGTCCCTTGGCTGAGAAGCCTCTCCTGTTTATGGCAGCCTGTCCAGGTGAGGATCCACTCCACTCTCATGGCCTGCATCACATGGCACAGCCTTCTGTTACGTGAGAGTCGTTTCAGGTCCTCGTGTTTGTCTCTCCTCCACCTCGGGAGCTCCAGGTCCAGTCTCCCTGCCTGAGAGAGCTGAGCACACAGACACATTTGTTATGCAAATTCGTAACAGATGGCCAAGGCCAGGTGCCACCCCGGGTCCTCAGGCTTCAGGTGGTGTGGAACAGTTGAGCAGCAGTTTATTTCCAGTAGTCTCCAACAGTTTGTCATATGCAAATGCAAAATAGTTTTGTTTATATCATCTCCAGGCAGTGCTTGGTGTGCCTTTGAACTAGGAGACCTCTTGTAATAGTCCTGTGGTCCCCAGAAGTTCAGCTCCATTGCATGTCACAGAATTCCCATTTTCCTGAGAGCACCTTAGGAACCAAGAATACTTAGGGGTATTGGGAAATAATTTCAGTAAAAACCATTACTTGAGTTTGTTCTGTGACATGTCTGTCTTTCCAGTTAGATGGTGGCCTCCTCTTGTGGCAGGGCCTGGGCCTCATGCCCGATTCATCTCTGTCTGCAGTGCCTGGGATGGGGCCCACCTGTGGTCACTGCTCAGTGGATCCTGAAATGAACGCATTTAAAGTTGATATGTGCTTTTGGGATTATGCTCGTCTCTGTAATGAGTTTTATTTCTGATGTTGCTGGATGTAGAGTCCTAAGTATTTTAGCTATAACCTGGAGGACCTCAGCTCTTGGACTGTAACTAAACATAACTCGTGTCAAATGCAGGTAGGAGAGAATCTGGTCCCTGCCCCTTGCCCATGATGACTTGAGCAAGATGCTTTTCCTCTCTCAGCCTCAGTTTCCTCACCTGTGGACAGGGGATTACAAACCCCTTTCTGCCTAAATCATCGGATTATTGTAGGATTAGCAGGAAGTACATTGAAAACAACTTGGCCTCATGTAAAGAAAAATGTGTTACTCTAATCTCTTCTTGTTTGGGAAGCATGTTGGATTCCTTAGGAATAAAACATTTCCTGGAAGAAACATCGATTGGCAGTATTCATGAGAGATTTTCATTGACGAAGCAATGTTCTGCTTTGTTAAATTTTGATTTCAGTGTTGCTGATAGGAAAGAATTCTCTTAGGTTAGTACCTCCCTGCTAGTTCATGGAGAAAGCCTTTCTGAATCAAGAGGCGGGCTCGCTCCTGGGTCCCCAGTGCCTGGCAAGGACTCCATCTTCACGCCAGCAAGGACAGGTTGGCCTACTTACTGCCTTTCCTCCTCATTTCCTCTTTCTGTTTGGAGAGTTTTCCTGTAAAGAGGAGAAAAAGAAGTGGGATGGGGGAGTGGGGAATCAGGAGATGTTTTTGTTCTAATATGGGAGAATAAGAGTAATTTTTATAGGCTAATGGAAAGATCTAGTACAGAGGGAAGAATTGACCTGAAGAATGATCATCGGAGAGGGAGGGTTCTACACACACAAACTATCATGTGTCCTTTGCCTAGTGACCTTTCCACACGGCTGTACGAGCATCTTCCTGGATGCAGGCAATCAGGGATGTGCTATCTTTAGAGAATTTGAAAGCAATGATCACACAAGTGAAGTGTTGGTCTGCTTCTAGTATCTCCATGAACCAGCAATTCCAGGCAATATCAGAGCTATGATAGCCCTGCTCTGGGGTGGCCACTGCCCTCACCCACACACCTTGTGTCCCCCTCACTGTGCCCACCTTCACACCTGCAGGAGTGAGGCGGGAGACGGCAGAAGATGCAGGTGGGCTGGAAGGGGTGGTAGAGGCAGTTGTTTCCTGGCTGCTTCCAGTGAGATAAGAAGCAAGGTCAGCTGTTGAGAGTGAGGAGTAAGGAGGATGAGATACTGCTCACCATCACCAGGAAGCACAGAGCTCGTGTGATTGCCGTGTATTTGTACAGCATCACCAGTCAATGCTGTAGAAGTAGCGTGTGACTGCCAGATAGTGTTGAGAGTCCCCAGGAGGCTGGTGAGGGGGATGTCAAGGGGAGCTGGGGGTGGATTGCCAGCCGTCCAGCTGCTGGGCGAGGGCACACCGTGGGTGCAGAGCTCAGTGCTGTGCTTTCTGGGTGCCTGCTGGGTTCTTGCTATTGAGTAGCTACGTCCCCAAAGTTCCTATGAATTCCGGCAACTGACAGATGACTGCTTCTCTGAGGTCCCAGCTTTCAAGCGTTTAGGGACTAGAGTTGGGAATTTAACCTGAGTCTTTTGGCTCCAAAGCCATTGTCCTTTTCAGTAGACAAAGCCACTTCCTTTCAGTCTAGGTGTAAAAGTAATAATACAAAGATCTGACTTTTAATTGTTATTGAATCCAAATTTAACATTTTGTATATGCCTGTCATTATTTTATCAGTCTGAAAAATGAGTGTTTTATTTCTCATTACGTCTTCCTACCTAGTATAATGGGATGAATATAACAAACTATTGGTAAATTTTTGAACAATAATAATGTTTTAAATAGGAATTAAGTGGCTTTAAAAGGCAACAAATTCTCATCCTTTCATTGAAATGTACTTGGCTATTGAGAAATGCTATTTTGGTTAATTTTTCCTTGCACTTAATTTGAGAGAGTCTAGCATGACTACTTAATGGCCATCAGTGTGCAGTTCATTCATTTCAGGGGTAGGATTTAGTTTTTCAAGTTGCATATTTGTTTTTTACTTATGCTGGAATCTGGGCTGTTGAGTAGATTTGGGTAACAAGAAGGTTCATATTATACACTATTCAGAAGAACTGAGGTTTGAGATACTGAAGAAAAGGCCGGGCACAGTGGCTCAGCCTGTAATCCCAGCACTCTGGGAGGCCAAGGGGGGTGGATCACAAGGTCAGGAATTTGAGACCAGCCTGGCCAACATTGTGAAACCCTATTTCTACTAAAAATACAAAAATTAGCTGGGCATGGTGGCACACACCTGTAATCCTAGCGACTCTGGAGGCTGAGGCAAGAGAATTGCTTGAACCTGGGAGGCAGAGGTTGCAGTGAGCTGGGACTGTGCCACTGTACTCCAGCCTGAGTGACAGAGTGAGACTCTATCAAAAAAAAAAAAAAAAAAAGAAAGAAAAAAAAAGAAGCAGATACTGAAGAAAGAACTTTCTGGCCCCTGGAACTCCCTGAAGATGGAAGTAGTGGCCTGACGTGGAGGTGACTGCCAGAGGGACACAATATGGTAGAGGCTGGCGATGGCTCAGAAGGGGCAGCTTTCGGTATTTTCTTTGGCAATTGGAAGTAATAATTGTTTAAGTGGAGATGAAATAACATATTTTTCTTTCTTTCTTTTTTTTTTTTTTTCTACAGAAAACACGGCCATCTTTATGTGTAAATGTTGTAACCTTTTCTCACCAAATCAGTCGGAACTCCTCTCCCATGTTTCAGAGAAGCACATGGATGAAGGGGTTAATGTTGATGAGATTATTATTCCCCTTAGGCCTCTGAGTACACCTGAACCCCCCAACTCACGCAAGACTGGAGATGGTAAGGGGGCTGGCATGGGGTGGGGGGCAGGGCACCGCCCAACCCGCTTGTTGATGTTGATTTGCTCCGTGAACATAGTAGAAGCCTAGAAAATCCACATTTCCAAACCAGAAGTCACAATAACTGTCCAATTATACATATGCTCAAATAAGAGTGTGTCTTTGAAATCCCCATAGCTGGCCCCCTGTAGGTGTCCTCCCATGTCTGGTTGGCAAGTGAATGAATGAACGAATGAATGAATGAAAGGAGGTGGCAGTATTCAACAGTGTGAAAAACATGAGCTCGTTGTCAGACAAGTGTGGGTTTAACCCAGTCCTAGCACCTACTGGCTGCATTACCTAAAGCCAGTGATGTTACTTCTCCAAGCCTCATTTTGCTTATCTGAACAAATGAAGATAAATATGTTGGTTACAAGGGGGCCTGTGTGGATGAAGTTAATTACGGCACCTAAGCTGATGCATGGCACACGGAAGACAATAAATGGAAGCTGTTGTTCTAACATACATGGTTAATAAAAAGTCTGTATCATCTTATAGCATTTTCCAGTTGTTCCCATAAACCTGGAACAAGGATTCAGATTGCAAAGCTTTGATTCATACAGGATCCTTTGTGATGTGCAAAGTGAGATGCATCTTGTCTGTAGTATCCAGACATCTTTCACTGAGTGGTTATCAGATGCAGCAGGTGTATGGATCAGAGATACCATCCAGGCACTGTAATTAGGTCCCCACAGACAGAGAAAACATATAGCACACGAGGAACTGCTGCAAAGATGCTCACAAAACTCTGTGATAAAGGACAGCAGCCAGTCTCCTGTGCGGAAGCCCAATACATAGCAGTCCGTGTCCCATTGCAGGGTTCATCAGCCACACTAATAATCCAGTGGCTCTTGCCTGGGAATATTCAGACTGGCATTTCTAAATAGGCTGGCTATTGATCATCTGTTGGGCACCATTAACAAGGAGGTATTCCAGACAAAAAATGTTTTTGTTAATAAGTCCCTCTGGCCATTCTCAGGGTTCTCAGAGAAACATGTCTGACAGAAGATTAAGTTTTTGATAAGTTAGGAAGTTCTGCAAGTTATAGTGGAAACGAAGAAGGTGCAACACCTGAAGCCAGTGGTGGTGAATAAGTAGCAGCAGTTAGTATTTATTACTTCTCTCATCACCATCAGCTAATAGTGGGTGTGTCCATGCGGGCTCGGCCCCTCACAGGCCTTGTGAGCAGAACTGTCCTCTTCCCATTTAGAGGAAGCAGGAGTGAGGAGGAAAGTTATATGTAATTGCATCTCAACCAGTACCACACACTTGAGACTCTTTGTTTGGGGGTAGAGGAGGAAAGTTTGCAGGGGGCATTGAGAGTCAGAACCTGCTTGGTGCCAAGGTCCTTGCAATTCAGCACCCTCCTGCCCGCCCAGCCTGTGTGAGTCATGACACCTGAGCAGGAGCTTTGTGACACCCATATCCCCCATGGCCCACTTTCCTGCTGAGCAGTCAGTGCCTTGCTTTCTAAAGTGTGTAGCTTCGCAGAAAGGGCTTGAGTCAAGAACTGTGGACAATCTGTGTACCTGCCTCTGGGGTTGAATGTATATGGACTCAGAAAAATGGATGATGTCTCAGATAGAAGCCATGTGAATTAACGTGGGAAGAACTTCTAGAGGGGCTCTTGCAAAGCTTTTAGTTCTTTGCTTATTAAGATTCTCTTCTTTCTAAATGAGGTGTTAATAAGAGGGGAATTTTAATTTTTAATTTTTTCATTTTCTTTTTGAGACAGTCTCACTCTGTTGCCCAGGCTGGAATGCAGTGGCATGATCTCGACTCACTGCCACCACTGCCTTTTGGGCTCAAGCATTCCTCTCACCTCAGCCACCTGAGTAGCTGGGACTATAGGCACCCACCACCACACCGAGCTAATTTTTGTATTTTTTGCAGAAACAGAGTTTTATCCTGTTGCTCAGGCTGGTCTCAAACTACTAGATTCAATCAATCCACCCAGAATGGGTGGATTCTAGGCCTCCCAGAATGCTGTGATTACAGGTGAGAACCACTATGCCTGGCCTTTCATTTCTTTTATAAATAGGAAATGAATAAATGATGAAAAAGCAGAATTCATGTAGAGTTATGAGTGTTCCATACCTAACCTGTGTTAGCGAGAGAGAGCGCTATCCATGCAGGAGCTGGTCCTGAGCTCCTGCCCCTTCCCAGCCCCCATGCCCCTCTCCTCTCTCTCATCACTGATCTACAGCCACTGGCCCCGGGTTGCTGGTGGAGGAGCAACTGAATGCAAAGGCCACCCTCTGCCTGGAAGCCCCGGGAGGGTGTTTTTGCTGGTTCACTTCTGCATGTGCCTAGGACTCTCAGCCTGGGGTCACCTTGAGGAACATTTCTCTGGTCCCAGGTAGGGCTGCAGGACCTTTCACTGGGCTCCCAGAACCCCATAACTGGACTTGTTTCAGTTCTGTCTCTCCTGGGTGTGCTTTCATTTGTCTCTGTGTTTCTCTTTCTTGTGAGGAAATGTCCCAAGGAAGGGATTTGGGCTGTTCAGCTCTTAGCCTCAGGTCCTGGTGTGGAGCCTGGCACAGGGCACAGCCCCTTTCCTGTATGTTCAGTGAAGGAATTACCTTTTTTTGTCCTTGTTTTCTTGCCTGGGGCCTTGCTGCCCTCCCTCCATCCTAGCTGTCACCCTTTGCTCAGGAAACTTCAGTGGCTTTCCCCCCAAAGCAGGGCTCCCCAAATTAATTTGACCTGGGGACCCTTCTGACTAGCATAAAGCCCCTGACTTCTAAGCAGTGCCGTTGGCAGCATGGGTTCACTGGTGGGGCTCTTCTTTTGGTACTCTAGGCCCCTTCTGTGGCCAAACAACTGGAGATCCTCTGGGCCCCTGGCTCCTTTTTCCCTCTGTGGTGTTACAGGTGAACCCATACCTGGCTTTCTGTAGGTGTCCTCCAGTGTTTGGTTGGCAAATGAATGAATGAAAGGAGGTGGCAGTATTCAACAGTGAAAAATATGAGCTTGTTGTCAGACAAGTGTGGGTTTAACCCAGTGCTTGTAAAACTTCCTTTAACTCCTCCAGGCGGACTTTGTTGCTTCTCCTGGGTGCATATACCACGTGGGTAAACCCATCAAAGCAATTACACTTTTCCTTTATACTTTTTTCCTCCCAATTATAGGAGTAATTTTTTTTGAGATGGAGTTTCACTCTTGTCACCTGGTCTGGGGTGCAACGACATGATCTTGGCTCACTGCAACCTCCATCTCCTGGGTTCAAGTGATTCTTCTGCCTCAGCCTCTTGAGTAGCTAGGATTACAGGCACCCACCACCATGCCCAGCTAGTTTTTGTATTTTTGTTAGAGACAGGCTTGCCATGTTGGCCAGGCTGGTATCGAACTCCTGAGTTCAGGTGATCCACCTGCCTTGGCCTCCCAAAGTGCTGGAATTACAGGCATGAGTCACTGCGCCCGGCCCTGAAATCTTGCTGTAAAAGAAAATTAAAGCAATATAAAATGGGGAAAGCACATTTTCTTAACTGCCCTCCAAATTCTAGAAATAATACTGCTAACAATTAAATGTACTTCCAGACCTTTTTCTCTGCATATGTAAACATAAATACAGTTTGTTGTTGCTTTTTTATTCAATAAGGAACAAAAATGGGATCATAATATATGTTCTGCGGCCTTAAAAAATGTCAGCAGTATATGCTGGATATTTCTTCATTTCAGTACCAACATGTCTCCTAATTTTTTTTTCTTTTAGTTTTATTGAGGTATAATTGACAAACAAAAGTTGTTAAGTATTTATGGTGTATATATGATATTTTGATATATGTATACATTGTGAAGCCACAGCCAAACTAATCTATCACCCCATGTAGTTAACTTTTGTGTGTGTGTGTGTGTGTGTGTGTGTGTGTGTGTGTGTGTGTGTGAAGATCTGTTCTTTTTTGGCTGTATGTGATGGCTCATGCCTGTAAACCCAGCATTTTGAGAGGTTGAGGCAGGAGAATCACTTGAGCCCAGGAGTTTGAGAACAGCCTGGGCAAATAATAGAGCCCTGTCTCTACCACAAAAAAAAAAAAAAAAAAAAAAAAGAAAGAAAGAAAAAGAAAAAAAGGCCACTACAGTGGCATGTACCTGTAGTCCCAGCTACCTGGGAGACTGAGCCAGGAGGCTGAGGCTGCAGTGAGCTGTGGTTACATCACTGCACTCCAGCCTGGGTGATAGAGTGAGACCCTGTTTCAAAACAAAAAACAAAAAACCTGACCTCCTCTTTTAGCAAATTTCAAGTATACAATACTTTAATTTGTAGTCCTAATTCTTTTCAATGTCTGTATGGTATTTCCTTCTGTGGATAATGCATAATTTACTGAACCTTTCTTTTCTTTTTTGGTGACATATATCTTCTTTCTAATTTTGTACTATTGTAAACAATGTTACAATACATGTTACAAATATCATTGTACATTGTGTATTCACATTGGCTATATTCCTAGGAGAATTGCTTGTGTAGAGGGTATGTTAATTGAAAAGTTTGCTAGGTTTTATCAGAATGCTCTCCGGAAAGGTTTTATATTCTCACTGGGATCTAAGATCTTTTGTTTTTCCATATCCACATCAACCCAAGGGTATTACCTTACTTTAAAGAGTTTTTGCCAATTTGACAGACAAAAAATGGTATATTATTTTTATTTGCATTTTGCTGGTGACTAGTGAGGCTTACCATTAATGTTTGACACATCTGTGAATTGCTATTTATATCAGTTGTCTATGTTTTTGTTTGCTATTTATTGATTTGTAGGAGCTCTTTGTATAGAAAATGTTAACACTTGTCATTAGAGAATCTATATATGCTCATTTTAAACCTCACAATGCATGGTAATGATTATTTTATACATAAGTGTTCATTTAGATTTAGCTACATATTTACTACTCTCTGGCTCTTCCATCCTTGGATCTCCATCTACTCCATCTCCATCCATGGATGAGTATTTTTCTGCTATGGAA